AGGGCGGTAGGCGGTGGCAGCGTGTGCGGGTCTGTGCGCGTTGGAGCATGATGTCGCCCAGCTGGAAGGTATCCCGGGTTACTACGTTTTACTGTAGTCCTTCGGCAGCTTTTATACCTAGGAGGTTATGTGTTATTTCTGTAAATACTGCAACGCTGTTATATTTCATTGCAGTTTCGAGTATATTTGTTTTTTGGCTTGCTAACGTACTAATTAATTTCCATTAATTCTGCAGGGGCATTCATTCGCGGTATTATTCTACCTTGATTTAGCAACCATGAGCAATCAGTCACTGTATTTGGTACCTAAAAATGACAAAATTAAATTGATTTTCCAAACAGCAAACCCCCTTTATGTCACAAAGTGTGCACTGCTTTGTGATACAATGTGGCCCTGATTACTATGCCCCTTGGGGCCATCACTACCCCCTTTCTGTCTGTGGCCTTGTCTTCTCTTCCAGTCATAAAATCAAAACCTAACACTTGAATTACAGATTTCAAACATTGGTGATTTTTCCCTGTATTACGCATCAACCAGTATAAACTGACAGTACATCTGACTGAAAATCGTGTGTATGCTCTGCCTTGGTAAAAATGAATCACTGAGAGATACGAACTGAGAATCCTAGTGCTAGAGATACCTTACGAACACTCAGCAAAAGAGAATTCCTGGCCCAAAAAGGCTTGCAAAGTAGGAAAGACAGACGAGCGTTCATGGGGCACATGGGGCACAATATTCAGCCTTATGAGAAGGAGATGTCTTTTAAGACGCTTAAAATGTCTTGTCAATACCCTTTTCTGCCTTCCCTTCCATTTTCCATTACCGTGTAAAAAGGTCCTACAATACTGTTATCGCTAAGACAGTACAGAGTCCCCGTTGCAGGTGCAGCAGTAGCCATTGGAAACTACTTGTATGAGTAAAGTTTATATGTTCTGAATAGGGCTTTAAATGATGTGACCATTTGACTTTGAAGAAACCCCCAAAATACATAGAACACATACACATCCCTTAGAGAAGTTTTCATTTTTTTCTCATGGAGATGCATATAAAAAAAGCAACTAAAACAATAGTCTCTCTTGTCTTAGTTATTTGGCATGAGACGAAGTTACTTAGTCCTGAGACGAAGCCCATGAGTCTTACTTTAAAAAACAATAATGTAACTCAAGCTTGAGAGAAAGGCAAGGATGTGAGGTAGTTTTGGACAAGCTGCTGGTGAGCCAACACTTTTCCTGCTCACAAAGCCTCTTTCTGTTACATTGCTTGCAGGTGGTGTAAAAATGAAGATTTTTTGATTTGAACATTGTCTCAAGTATTCCCACTTCTGCCTGGTCAGTCTCACAACTTGTTTGTTTTAATATACAAGCATTTTAGTTAATGTTTAAGGTAGTTTCACCTTGGAAGACAACATACAGAAAAGCATATCTGGCAATATTTGGAAAGGTATCAGCACATCCTGTTGTGAAATCAACACTCTCCAAATTACAAACACTCTCCACTTTAACAGTTGCTAGTTTTTTAAAAAGAAAATCTGTTTTTTTTTTGCTAAATAACTATCCACCTACAAAAAAGATAGACTAGGAAAAAAATTAAAACACATTTAATTAAACTATCTATGGAGTTTGGCCTCTTTATTTTTTGTCATTAATAAATAATCTATTACATATTTTCCATTTCAAGTATATTTATCTCAGGTGAATGCTCATCACCACTTGATAGTTATATAACTTCTGCATTTTTTGCTCTGTAATTATTTTCTGCTTCTATGGTAAAATAAAGAAGAGAAAAATATTGCAGGGTAGTAGATCCAAATGTTTATGTGAATTCAAATGTCTGGAATAGGAGGAACCAGCTGGTAAGACGCATCTGAGAAATTTATACTGTACCTTCCACAGGGAAAAAAATTGGCCCCATTGTAGACCAAAACTCTGTACAGTGCTTTTGGTGTATGCTTCCTTTCAAACATATGGATTAGATTCACTGATGTCAGCAGGACTTTTCACATATGAACATGAGGTACGTGTTCAGGAGTCAGCAGATCATTTCCTCTGTTTCTGAGAGTATTTAGAACGTTCCCCACAAAAAGCACCAAAAAGAAAAGGTCTGTCTCTTCCTCAGAACCCACCTTCCTCCTGAGACAGCAAGGACTTTTCTAACAAAGATATCTTGGTAGAAAAATAGCCTTTTAGTGTTTGAGTCAGGCCAAACCCAGTAGTAAACTGCCAACACTCTTGCAGTCGCTTATACTCAGCAGTAACTTTACCCTCATGGGCAGCTGCTGAGAATTAATTCCATTGGTTATTGCAGGAGGAAAGTTTCTCATGTGCATAAGCATTTGCAGTATCAATCTTTTCCTGTTTATAGAGCCCAATCCACTGCCTCTCAAGTCAGTGTGCTTCCCTTGCCTGTACCTCACGTTCCCACAGTTAGCACCTACCTTTGTGTATATTTTAAACATCATGAAAAGATAGAGGTCATTTATAATGACATTTATTTAAAATTACCTCTATCTTTTTTTAGCTGGGCCGTGATATTATGCTAGCTTTCTGAGACAAAATATGTTGAAATGTAATGTACATGCATGCATATATATTTTATTTGCTCAGATTGAAAAATAAGTTAACAAGCCGTTTCATAGTCATGTATCTAGAGAAGATGGTTGTCCTCCAGCCTTCAAACTAGAAAAAATCTGCACTGATTTTTTTTGCACCATTTTGACTTTCCTGGCACTGTCATGTCACTCCAGGCGAGCTCACTGAAGGTGAACCTCTAGACCCCCCCAGAGTGAGTTGCTGGCAAATGGCTCTGCGCCAAAACCGAGCTGTCTGTCTCAGTCTGTGCCTAGACCTGAGGGTAGCCAACGTGTATGGTGCTATGCCCAGGCTCAGAGTGCGGCTGCCCGGCAGGACATCCCACGAGCCCCCAGGCAGAAGGTGGGCATGGGGGCACCTCTGCTCCTGGAGGCGCCAGGGCCCTGGGACACTGCACTCGGGCTGTGCACCCCTTGGCGCCTGCCCACCCTCTTCCTCCCCGCTGCCCCGCTGCCACGGCAGTGTCACTCCAGAGCTCTGTGACACCATCGCTGTGTCACAGAGCCCACTGTGGCCACCGCTATAAAAGCACTGCCTGCTGAGAGATGCCGTCGTCTCTCTTGGCTCCCTGCGGACTGAGGGTGCCGAAGGCTCTGAGCGGGGTGAGGCGAGGATGGAGTTTCTTGGGACCACACAGACTGCCAGCTACTGTGGCACAAAGAGGAGCTGCCTGTTCCCTGACCCAGCTCCCACCAGCACCACCAAGGACAGCTATCAGTCCTACTACCTCCCCGGCTACCGCTACCTCAACTCATGGAGGCCCAGCCTGTTGTACAAGGTGTCTTCAGTCCCTTCCAGCTCTGATGATCAGCTTAATCCTGTGAGGCGGCCACCCACCGTGCTGCCATCGCTGCGATCTGCCCTGCATGCCCGCTACAGCACTCATGACTGGCACCAGGCAAACCTGGTCCAGTTGACAGGGTCCGAAGCCTCCAGGAACTGGGCTGGTAAGCTGAACACTGATTCAATGCGACTGATGCAAGACAAGGACCAATTGACTTACCAGATGCAAGAAGATAGCAGAAGAAACCTAGGAGAGAGGCTCTGCAACCTCGATTTCTGGAGGGAGACCCATGCCTTGGAGATAGCAAAGAAGCGACTTGAATGTGCTGCAGATGAAATGGAAGGACCACTGAAGGTAGGTTAGAGGTAGCTACTTATTCCATGACTTTTTTGGCAAATTGGTGGAGGTAACCTGCTGAAGCAAGTTTCCTATTCACTAACTGAAGTTATGCAGTCATTCTCTTGTAGTTATGCAGTCATTCTCTTATATAGGTATCAAGTTTTCAAACTTCAGCAGTGGGAGGGTGAAAGGAGGTGAGATTAAGGAATTGAGCTATGGATAAACGTCATGGTAAACAATACAGGTATTTTAATCTACGCTCAATTTGCGCCAAAGCTTAGGCATGCTGAGATGTAGGCCTTGCTGCATATTAGTATGCAGCTAATCAAATGGTAGCTATGATGGCTACTAATCCTTAAAGGTAAGAACGAGCTACTGGGACTGATCAGTTGTGTGCAGTGAAGCCACCTCCTACTCTGATCCACCCTCAGTAGAAGGTTATTACTTGACATGCTAGCTCACTGGCCCCTTCAGCAAAACTCAAGGTTTCACTTCACCACACAATACTGAGGCTATTACAGATGTTCCTTGGTTTGCTTGCAGACAGCCCTAGAGTGCTTGTACAACCGTGAGAAGCGGATGGGTATAGACTTAGTTCATGATGATGTGGAAAAGAGCCTCATAAAGGTAAGACTCAATTTATTAACTTATTTCTTAAACTGTAGGAATAACTTAACACCCAAATAAATGTCTGTCAGGGCAAAAACACTGAAATAATTTCTTCATTTACTTAGAGGAAGAAGCCAGATTAAACTACAGATGCTGGGGCTGGTTAATGTTCTGTTCATCCTCCCTGGAGTAGGAGGAACAGAGTAGCACCCTTGGGAGGTCTTGTCCAATTCTATCTTCTCTGATCCTACGAATCAACGCAGAAATATTCATCAAGATTGTTTTCTTGGCCATGATTTATAAAATTTCAGAAGTCCTTAGAGCTTTCAGCATAAAATGCTGGCTTACTCTCTTGCAATATGTATAATCATACTAAACAAGGAAAATGAGATGGATAATGATGATTGCTAAATCCTTTAAATAAAAAAGCAAAAAAGTCAAATATTTTTGCCATTTTGCCATTGCTTCAGGCATTTTTCTGGATTAGAAGATTATGGAAGGATGTCTAGGCCACCTAGATAACCAGGATGTTTGTTCAGAGCCTACAATCTGCAACTCAGAGTTTTAGAGCTTTTAATGAAGTGCTGAGGAGCTAATATGTATTATCTTAAGTGTTTAGCACTTAATTCAGGAAGAGAATTCAGGTCAGGATGAAATACTGCCTACTCTTCCCCATGAACAGATGAAAAACTTTTTTCAAAATGAAAAATGAAAACTATTCACCTGGTCTCCCCAAGCACTGTTCTGATTAGGCAGCAAGTTTGATACTGACCACAAAGGACGGCAAAGGCTCCTTTTGTAATAACAGGAGGGCCTGTTCTACAGTTGCTCTCACTCCTACATATATTGTACAAGTGTGGAGACAGAGCTTGTGTTTTTAAATTTGGTGTGTCTTAATGACTTCCAAATTATTAGAAACAATTTATTCACAGTTTTGAAACTCATATATGACAAAACTTTACACACTCTATTAAGAGGGTACCTTGGGCTAAATTTTTTTTTTTTAAAAGGGAAGAGGCTGGAGTAGCATATGGTTTTTTGAGGGACCATAATTACAGTGTTTACATAATTTTCAGTGTGGTTTGTTTGAGTATTTTTTATTCATTTTAAGCCGAGTGGAATCTTGGCTTTGAATTTCTTTGGCTAATATTTACACTCTCAAAGAATATTACAATATAGCCCCTTATGGAGCCTGCTTATGAAACCAGACATATTTTCAGCCTACACATAAGAACAAAATATTTGTATTGTTCTAGAAAAGCATATAAGTAGTTAGAGAGGGTATCTTAATGTATTAAGATTCATGTTTCAAGTATCTTCATTACACCTAAATAAAGTAAAATCTGACTTTATTTTTATTAGGATGACTCCATCCATTAAAATCTACAAACATGCTTGATATAATAGAAAAACCCATACAAAAATGAGTCCAACAACTTTGCAGCAGAGAGGAAGAAACGGACCAAAACACATCTTTTCTTGATCCACAATACATATGAGATATGTGAGGTGGTTGCAACATCTAGATTATGCAGAATACAAAATATAAATTCCCTAAAACAAATTGAGTATAATGAAAGCACTGACATCTGGGTATTTTCCGCTGTAGGAGGTAGATCTACTCAAGGATTGGCAAGCAAGAACGAGAAAACTTGCAGAAACAATCGGTCAACAGTTGGGGTAAGAACTTACATTTACATTCTGTTTTTCAGAGAGGAAAGCTGAATTCAGTGTTGGCTGGTATCTAACGACAGGTTGAAAATAGTAAAGGCAAAATAAGAGACTTACTCTGTCAGATGCTTATTGCCCTCCACTTCTAATTCTTAACAACAATAGAATTCATGTGTTAAACTGCAGAAGAACAACACATGCCATTTAAAGCACCATCTGAACTAAGACAATTTGCCATGTTCCCTCTTCTGCCGGAGATTCCTCCCGTCTCCCATTCATCGTCACCCTTCCGGACTCGTTCATATAAGACCACGACAAAGATGTGACAGTCTATTTTTCACTAGCTGGCTTAAAAAAAAACATAGCAGTGCAAAGCTGGATTCATAGGGATAGAGAAGGAACAGCCTCATATAACCACTTGATTAATAAATGACAGTTAGCTGTGATAAGACAAACCATCCTCTGGGAACCTGTTCTGGAGAGCGCTAAGAACAGACCTCCCATGCCAGCTTGCCACACAGTGGAGTGAGGAGGCAGCAGGTGAGACAAACAGCATAAGCTAGATGTATTTGCAACTGGAGTTTCCAAAGATGATTGTGACTAAATTTTAAAAGTCATATTTAACCTGAAATCCTTCACTAAAATTAGGGACACCAAAATTACAGCTAAATTATACCAGTATTGCTATGTGTCACACTGGAGTGAAGTTCAGAAGGAACTGATTTTTTTTTTTTTTTAAATGCAAAACTAGATTTAAAGGAAAATTATATTGATAAAAGAACCTGACATCTAAGCACATCATAAGGTATTTATTTAATAATGGAGTTATGGAATGGACCTAAATTTTTTTCATGCACGTTATGGGAGGCTTTGGCATTGGAATTTATTTTATTTCTTTGAGAGCATGCAAATATCCTGGTAAGTGCAAATTATACTGCGGTATTGACATTTAATTAAGTAAAACTCCATACAGTCTCTTCTGCACACAGAACGGACACAAATAAAATAGTCATGATTATGCAACATGACATGACAGGACTCTCAAAAGAGAGAGTACATGTGTTCATATATCAGGAAGGTAAAATTAGAAATAGCAGTACCTGATTGTTAGGTTATTGGAGAAAATGACATAAGCAGATTTTGAAAATGAATGCTCTGATTAATGGCACTCTCACATGAGTCAGGCTAGATGTATTTCTGGAGCTCTTCCCACTGTTGTAATATACCGATCAGATGAAAACTAAGTAGCATGAATTTTGTCTAAGTCCTTTGTCTGGGATTTTGAGCTACCTTTGATTGAGTTCTGTGATCACAACAGGCAGACTGATACTAATGTCAACTGACAGCTACATCACAGAAACAGCAAAAAATGTGAACGTGTTTGCAATCTTCCTGATGCATTGGAAAGCAGAATTTTAATTCTTTCTTCATCTGTATTACTCCTATTATAGTCAAAAGCCTATGTCAGGCCTCGCCCCTCTTTGGAAGAGCCAAAGGAAAATAAATTATTCCAAAAATTGCTTGTGGGTAAGAAAGCAGAGATGGAGCGACGTATTTCCCTCCTAGTAGTCAAGATGAGCAGAAATATTTGAGCTGACTTTCCTTCTAGTGATGTACAATTTGAAATATTCTAAGTGAATTTTCCCCCCAGATCTGGAAACCTGGGAAACCAGAACTCTGGTCTACACTTTGCTTTCTCACGGGCAGCTTTGCTGGCATGAAGGTTACCACTGAAAGCCTCCTCCCTTGTGCTCTGAGGCTTTCCTTCATGGCACAGAACAACTGTCTCTTGTTTTTCATCCTTTTGATCATCTATCATCAAAATGACAAACTCCATTAAATGCACTGAGTTGAATACAGGTCTTTGGGGAATACTCACCAGAGGCCAAAAGTTGAGCAGGCATGAATGGTATAGCAACTCCCTCTAGCTAAATGACAGTGGAAAGCATTTTCATGCCACAGTGTAGATGCCAGCAAACTATAAAATCATGTGCTGGAGGATGCAGAATGAAAGGAATTAGCTATTCAGCACAAAAACATAAAAGGTTGTTCATATTAAGGTAAGACTGTGTTCTTCACAGTATCAACAGAGATGTACAGCACGCCCTGGAGCAGGATCTTTCTGACAAAAATTCAGCCCATTTTATTGATGAAAAATGTTTTAACCTGAGGAACACATCAGACAGCATCAGCTTTTACCATGGAGTGGAGAAAATAGATGGAACGTGAGTATGAGCCGTTATTATAGCCTGCTCTTTCCATGCTCCTTCCTGTATATAAGCAGGCGCCGGAGTACAGCACAAGCCCCAGCCTGATATGTGAGAAGTGATACAGAAATAAGTGGCTTCTTTTTCAATATGGTGCTCTTTTTCTTTAGAGAAACCCTCCATCACCCTCAAGTGCTCCATGCCTCCCAGTGACTGCCATTGTTGGAGGCGCAGCAAAAGTTGGTAGCCTGCAGCACCTACAATACTGAATGTGTAGTGAGCTGTATTTTTCAGAAAGGACCATCCTTTATGACCGTGTAGCAGCAGACTCCTTGTTGTCAAAGTGCTTCATGCAGACTTCTCCCTTGGTTTTGATTTATACTGTTTTGTGGCCTTCTGGTTACAGGTCCACCACTTAGGTGCAATTTGGTAAAAAGCATGCAAATATACATGAAGGACTTTATGTATTTTTCATAAAAATGGCTTGGATCCCTTGGAAATTAGGTCATCAAGCTACACAGAAATGTGTATTAAACAGTATGACTGAAAGATTTGGCTCACCTTTATCAGTAGTGACTGAACCAGTTATGTACAGTTTTAAAAACTGTGTATTGCTAGTTAGTTGCCTTATGAAGACCTGCATCCAATCCTAAAGCAACAGCAGAAAAAAAGCAACTTGCAATAGAGGGCAGTGTTTTTGTGCTAATGACTTATTAGTTGCCTTATCACTCTTTAACACAGCAGTATTTGAATGGTGAACGTACTCCATAATCTCAAGTGATACCCATTCTGCCCTGTTTGAAAGAGGAGGGAAGAATCAGTATCGTTTGTTTATTTATATTCTGCTTTTCATTAAAAGATCACCTCATTCACTACTGAAATGAAAGCATATCTGAGAGAAACTTGGCAGGCATTCTGCTGACACTAGTAACACGACCTGCTTTTAGAATTAGCCATGAATAAGAATATTCTTGCACCAACTCTTGTAAAAAGCAGATTCTTATGAATAAGTTTTACAGCCCTTTTCCTTTTTCATCAACCATTATCCAAAGCAGTGCCATTTTTCCTTATCATTTTACTGAGACATACCTGCAGCATTTAGGAGCAAAGCAGAGCAGGTATTTTCTGCCTGAATCATTCAACAGAGACAGCCAAATAAATTGCAATCTGGAAAAGCAATGCTGAAGAACAGATTAAGTATTACAGAAGGTCAAGATGGAAACCTTTTATGATCAGAAAATGTATATAATCCATCAGACCATAGAGAAAAACAAATTCTCAGAAAGTACACTAAGATTATCGAGATCAGAAGTTGTAAGCACAGCCAGCACTAGTGTGATGGCTTGTCAGGTGTCTGAAACTTTTCAGAGCAACTGTCCAAATAAATGTGTACCACTAAGGAATTCCAAATCCTCTCATTTAGCAAGATCGGTATTTCAGTTTGGAGAGAAAGGAATACTTTATGGAAAACTAAAAAAGGCCACTGAGAAAAGAAGCACTGGAAAAATTAACTTTTTATGTCCCTTTAATAGTTATTCTCAGTGTTCAGTTAAAATCTAAAGAAAGCAAATGTTAAACTCAAAAAATAGTGACCTATTCCTGGAGAGTTTAACATGCAAGTATAGTTTTAGGGGGAAGTTTTGTATGGGGAAAGATGTCTAAATGCCTAAAGAAGTTTGTCTCAGCCTTTTGATTTGGCAAGTAATATATTTGTACATTTTCCTAAAATATACTAAAGATTTCTGAGTGAAAGAAGAAGTAATCCAGGAGGCTAAGCAGTGCATTAAAGAAGGAGGTGAATTTAGCTTATGCTGCACCACTTCTCAAGGTGCGTACTCCACATCGTGTCATGCCCAGGGTAGCTTTCACAGCTCGCTCTTCTTTACGCACTTGTCACTGCTCCCAGCTGTGTAACTAGCAGAAAGGGCACTGCCTGCACAGTGGTAATTCTACACATCTCTGGGCTTTGTGCTTTACTGATGTCACCCCTCCTTCCACATGCTTCTTTTTCTTTTAAATTAAAATTACTAGATCTCTTCCCCAAAAAGCAACCACAATTTCCTAATCACTCTAAAATTATAAGTTTTTCTTACCTTTTTTCCCACTGAAAAGGAGAATGAAACACCTTAATACTTTAGAAGACACCACATCAAGGAGGTTCAGCTAAACTTTCTTGACAAGCTAGACACTAGCAACATTATAAGATAAACAGCAGTTTTGTGGTTAAAAGGATGCACTGAAATGACCCTCAAATGCCCAGTGAGACAGAGGGTGTGCCTATTGAAATAAATGAGATTAATGGCTTTACTGGCCATAAAAGCCACATCTGGATGGGATTAAAAGTGTTCACCTGCATTTTTTTTTTGTCCATCCTTCATATCCCTAAAACCTGCCATGCCAGTGTAAAGCACAATATCTAGATTCAATTTTTCAGCAAAGGAAAGGCTCAGTTTAAAGCTGCAAGTTTAAAGCCACATAGATTCTCAGTTTGGAAGGATCTGAGTTTGGGTTTTACATTCAACGAGTTATGATAATGAAGGCCAACTGTGAAGCTTGGACATGAAATCAAACATCCCAAAGTTTGGGTGTGTACCGCACCCTGCCGAGGAACACTCATGCGTGGTGTTTTTCAGTGCACAAGCCCTATATTCAATTTTACTGTGCATTCCCAGGCTTTTCCCTAACAGAACCAGTTCTGTATGTCTCAAAGATATTACTAAATTTAACTGTAAAAGCCCTGCAAGTAGGGCAGAAGCGTTCATTGTAATACATGGAGAAGTGAGAGGATGGATATTTATCCAAATGACACAGAAGGACAGTGATGGGGTTGGGAAAAAAAGTCCAGTTATTCTGACTCCTAGGTCAGGGCTTTTTCTGGTTTCCAGCTACCATTCCTTCTGATGATGACGGCTCCGAGGAGATCAGAGCCACACACTTCATTACACAGGTCACATCTCAAGCAGTAGGGCTGCTCTAATAGGAGACAGCTGCCTGAAACTATGAGCTGGGTAAAAATCCACTTCTTTGTGGTATCTTGCCCATCTTTCCTAAACTACGTTGGACTCTCATGTTCTCTGGTGGTGACACACAACTCAGTCTTCCCAGGATAAAGGCTTTGGAGTGGCAAAAATATACAGTAGTTGAATCTAATTTAATGGCCTGCCATGTACAGGGGTTCCTGCTAAATAATCTAATAATCCCTTAAAGCCATTAACGCTCTGAAACTTAACACAGAGAAATGAGTCGAATTTCAGCTGAGATACAGCAGGCATCAATTCAGACCACCACCTAATCCGTTAAAGATGTAGTAAAGCTGCATTTCTGACATGCATACCTGATCCTGAAAAACTATTTTTAAGCATAAATATACAACAACTATGCAAGAACAGGTCATTCTTTGTACAGCAATACATAAATCAGCTTACTTGGGAGTTGATGCCAAGGGCATTGAGACCTTTACTTAGCAGCTGTGTAATTACTGGCTAGAAAACAAATATTTTGCTGGGGATTAATGTAATTTACTTGTCCTCTATTTCAGGAAATAGAGATTTTCATTCTTCTTTGTTGTACTTCGGGTTTTTTAGTTTTGGTTTTGTTTTTTACTGTTTCTACTACAACATCTAAGCAAACCATAGGAACTCTGTAGAAGGAACAGCTCTCCATAAGTGCTGACAAATCTTTGGTTTGCATGAAAGAAAAATACACAAAAATAGCAGGTGTGGAACCTGTATGTAAGATTGCACACAGTTCAATGAATGAATGCTTTGTAATTATCACTGAACAGAAGATAGCTGACTTAAGCTTTAATTTTATTTTCTTCTTTTTTAAAAAATTTCTTTCTAGTGTTTCAGTTCCAGAAACATGGGCTAAATTCAGTGAAGACAATATCAGGTCCTCTCAGCATGCAAGGGCCAACTCCATCAGGCTCCGGGACAAGACAGAGGCTGCATTGGAGAATGCATCTGAGGAGACGTGGAGTCGTTTCACGAGTACCAACTTGGCTTTTAATCATCGCATTTCTGAAGTAGCTAATGCAAAGAACAAACTCCAAGCTCAACTAGCCAAGGTAAGAAATTGAGCCAAGGTAAGTGTTGACAGCTGCCTATTATTTGTAACAGAAAGACGCAGAAGGTTTTTCTAGAGTTTACCGCCTTCTTCTGTGAGCATCTCCCCAAAATGTATAGCTGTATTAGCTGTATTTTCCTCAAGCAGTTGCGTTAGAATCACACATACACATGAGAAGAGATCACTCAAAGACGAGCAGACCGACAAGTTGAGGTTTTGCATCATACAACATCAGTCCTATGTGGAGATTCACTCTGATTACATTCATTTGCAACTTACAATTCTACAGTGGGGAAAGATATCTTAGGTGGTATTTTTTGAGGGTATTTTATATTTGTTGATGATATTTCCTGACTATTTTCTGGCCCAGGAATAGTACATGAATTATTTTCATGTATTTAATTTTATTTTGTAAATAATGAGCTAACTTTGGAAAGTCCCACAAACAGCAGCACATTTGGAAGGAGAAGACTAAAAGTCTTTACACTTTCATTTTGCAGTAGCAAGGAAAGAGCTCAGAATTAACTAAAATTTTATTTTTCAATATTTAAGTTAAATGTAATTCATAAAGTTTGAGAGACTGGACAGACAAAACCAGCACTGTTGAGGATGCCAGCACTGATGAGGCTTCTTTCATTTGGTACCTGGGATAAGCTACATAGAGGAGAAATGCTCTGAATGACAGAGCAAGGCTAACTTGCTGGTAACATGCTTCCTTCAGTATGAAGACTCTTCTGCACTGCATTTCCTAGTAATTGATCTGTGCAACAGTTGTCGATTGACCAATTTTTTATTTCTTCCCAATCAATTTGCCTGCTTTTCCAAATGCCTTGTGGACTTTCCTGTCTAGCTGCAGTTTTATACCTCCTTTATTACCCCAAATTATTTAAACCTATTTTGTTTTGTTAGTTATTTAGTAGCTAATCTGAATAATTTAAGAAAGCAATAAATCATCCTTAAAATCATTTTTTTTACAGAAAAACTAACCAACTATATAATAGTATGCTGACGAATTTCAATTAATAGTTCATTCCACTGCGTTGTCAGCAACAATAATAAATTTGAGTCAATAAATTTAGAGTCAAGCTTTAAAAGGGATTTGATAATGTTATATATCCAAACTCCTGGTGCATTTATCAAATAAAGTAGCTTTATCAATGTTCACTCATTTGTTTCGATGCACATCCGGAAACAATAGTGTTTTCGCACCATTTTGCTTGCCGTAAGTAGTTTAAGATGTTTTTAGTTTATTTTTAGGGACTCTTAGGAAAGTGCAAACTGACCAGCTAAATGTGTGAAATCATAGCACATAAATTAATGTGTTTTCTTCTAAATTTTTTCTGCTTATAAAGCAGGAAAGGTGTTGAATGTAGTCTTCATGTATTTTACATTGAATATGAATAAAGGCAACTTCAGCACTTTTCCCTAAATTGGACCATCCATGCAAGTTTCTCATGGATTTTAATCTATGAACATTTGTTTCTCATTTTCCAATGACCTTTTCTATTGCTTCTGAATGCCACTTTTATGAAAGGCCTTAAAGCATAAGGTAGCACAGAGTGTATGTATAGAATCACAAAGTTCATTGTAAGATACCAACATAGTACCAGAGATTTGGTCACAGAGTCCAGTTGGCAGAATGAGATAACTTCTGATAACTGGAGTATAATGGAAGAAAAACTGATTTGTGTCCCTATCCTATCACGCCATTAGATTGCAGTAATAAGCTATCTGGAGAACTGAATAATCATATTTATATAAAGAACAATTAATTTGTGTGGTACACATGAATAAAAAAGTGTCATGTTGACAGGAGAGTCTGCAAGTCCTTTCTTTCTCCTCATGAGCTACTGCTGCTGTGTATGCTGACTTACAAAGGGATAGTTAGCACTTCCATAGCAGAGATACCTTACTCATCGTATAAACACCCCAGTAACATAGAGCAGAATAACAAAATGCTAGTAGAGAAGAAAACTGCATAGGCTAGTGAGGAAAAATTCAGGCTGATCAGTGTTGCCAAGTTTGGATGCAAGATAATGGTTTTGTTTTCCTCCACCATGTCATTTCCATAGGCTGACTGTCATTCCCTATGCCTGTATTTCTGAATAACAGAAGGTAGCTAAGGGGACCGTGTAGGCTAGCAGTACCTGTGCTCTAATCTAGGAGTCTAGTTTTGATTCTCAGTCTCAGCCAACAGCTTTACAGCTGGCAGAAACCAAGAACATGGAATAACTGTGAAAAAGAAAATGGGATAGGTTTGCTCAGTGAAAGCATTGCTGGTTAAGGTGTGGGGGAGGTTATATGATAGGAGTCCTATTAATTCTCTTGCTCATGATTGTACCGTGATTGTACCATGAAAGGACAAGAAGAAGGAGAAGGAATGCAAGGGCAAGAGTAACTAAGGAGCAAGCACTCAATTAACAGTCATCTGTAGCTCAGCATAACAGACCACCTTTTCTTCCTTGCTCCAGGCTTGCAGTGTAGACTGTAACCATCAGAGATAAAAATCTCTAGACTATATTTAAATAAGAGAGCAAACGGAGCAGCTAGGAGACAAGGCTGTCCCTTAAACTGTACTTCTGTTGTTCCTTTGAGATATAATTATAATCAAAAGTACTAACTACAGTTCCTGTTCCCTTCGTATCTAATACCATTAGACAACGGGCGCTGCAGTTTCATTTCTGTGTTAAAAAATGAATCACCCTTTCAAAGGCTGTTTTTGCAATGACTTCTCAAGCAATGACTGCTGCTCTTAGAGTTAGCATTCCCTCTGCCAAATTCTTTTCCTAGTTGAGCAGGCTAGCTTCATGAAATGGGAGGAGAACAAGCATATAAGAGGTTTGCTACCTTGGAACCAGGAGAAGCTACTTATTTAATAAGGTCTGGAACCCATTTCTGAATGAAAAATACTTTTATGCTTTGCAAAGCAGCAAAATCTCTTCCAGACAAATAGCTATGCAGCCAACCTCTCCCAATTGTTTGTTTCTAAAACCAGTACTCTGTACTCTGAGAAAGGAAAGAAAAAAATACTCAAATGAGTAAATACTGTGGCTATGATGATCTAAAAATGATCCCATGATGAAATGGCACATTTTCTTCTGTTTAGATCACTTACACATAAAAGATCAGCTGGTTAAGATTATGAACGAAAGGCCTAATATCTCAGATTGAGGTCCACCACATACTCTTTAAAAATGCAGAGCACCAGATGGAACGGTTTCTATCTTACGCTGTAGATTTCATCTAGTGGCTCTCGAAACTATTTTTTTTTCCTTTGGAGCTAAGCTTTTTGTAAAAACTCATCTAGTTAGACTTGTAAACTCTGGGAACAGTGCACTATAGTAGTATCTGTGTTTGATATTGTATCCATGATTATGCTGCATGCTGTGGTTAGCATTTGTAATATGTGTACTTAAAATTTTTTCCCTGGATCAAAATTTTTCCATGTTCAGTTTATATTGCCTGTATGTATGCATAATAATGGTGACTATCAGCCAAACTAATCACACCCTTTGACTCAGTTAATTAAAAATATGCGTTCCATATGGAAACCTGTTTATTTTCCTACTGCTACTTAAAAAAACAAATCCAAAAGCCATATTACTTGGCCACTGCCTGATACTATCTATCCACATCTATCTTGCTGTCACAGAGAAGAAAAACACATCCACTCAACTTCACGCATGCAGATGTTACCAGTTCCATCCACAGCCAGTGGAACTGACCTTTGAGACAAGCCCCCAAATATGTCCTATTTTGCAATGCATTGAATACATAAACCAGCAACAGTTGTTGCCAAAGATAAAGTGGGTCACATTATATGTGGCTAGGCTGCGGCTGTAGCGACAGGAGGCCAGTCTCCATTTGGAGTATGGGAAGCTTCAAGATACAGTTAGTACCCAACCCTGTTACTGTGAGAATCCTTTAATATTTATATGAAAACGGCTTAGATGTTACAAACACGTATTCTGTGCTGAAGGACATGACAGAGGGAGGAAATGAAGGTTTCCACCAAAGAGGTAGGACCACAAGACGGGAACTAATAGTCTAACCATGGATACGCTGGACTGAAAACCAGTAATAGCAAGGGATACACAGAAGAGGTGCATCAGTGAAGTGTGGGATGTCTGTTCATCATGTAGGCTAACTTTATAGCGAACCTTTAACATTCCTGACTTTCCGTGCAAGAATGTCATTACCTCAACCCTGCTTATGGAAATCTGCTAACCAATGAACATGGGCATTGTCAAGATGAATATTCCATTGGAAAACTCTTGCGTTGCTGTACTCAAACGCCTTTCTCTCCCTTGCTGGATTATATCACATGTGTGATTAGGTGAGCACAGTGCTATTCGTTTAGTGCTTGGAAAACATCTGGTCCATAGAATTTAAGAAAGTTCTGAGAAAACTGGACAAGCACTAGAGAATGACAAGGCTGCAGTACTGATAGATCAACATGATGTTTTACTGGAGTCTTGAGTTCACATTTCTCATCTCAAAGCTTCTTTGCTTCATGCCTTTTCCTTTCATTTATCTTCTATTCTATCAATTGCTTTTCACTACTTACTACCACCAGAATGAACTCACAAGCAGTGCTGGTTTTGAGAAAAGTCAAGGAAAACTATACTGGTTTGGACTTAAAGTCTAATCCATGGAGATCAAAACCAGTGCATGAGAAGTGTCTTAGAATACGCTGTGCAACGAAGTTGCAGTGCAGTTAGTGGTGGCAAAGAAAGCAAGAGACCAAGGGCACCTGCCTCAGCTTCTCTCTTAATGGTGTTCAAACTATTCACACTTCTTCCTTTCCCAGTATCTTGTCCATAAAAATAAATTCTCAGGTCCTTTCTTAGTCAAAATTCACTGAAATGACTAGGAATTAACTGACATAAAAATATAGGAATGAACAAGTTGTAGTTTGTTCTTAATGTGGCCTGGCAAGCTAAGAAATTCCACCTGCAGGTTGCTACACCTGTTACTTTTTCAGAGTTGGGATTTTCCTCT